ACTCCTTTATGAATCCTCTCTTTAATTGGGCTATGCATGTTGTATTTTCTTCATACAAAACTGTGGGTAGTTTGTCACACTTCAAATCACATTTGTCTCAAATAAGATGTATAGTAGCCCTCAACCATACACATTCTCGACTTGCGTCATGAATAGCAATTATCTCAGCATGATTAGAAAAAGTAGCCATGATTGATTTCTTAGGCGATCTTCAAGATATGACAGTGTCACCACATGTAAACACATAACATGTTTGAGATCAAGCCTTGTGTGTGTCAGATAAATACCTCACATCGACATAACCAACAAGATCGGTATTGCAATCATTGTCATAAATAAGCCCACACCGGTAATCCCCCTTAGATAACACAATATGTGCTTGATTTAGTTCCAATTTCTCCTTGAGCAGAGCTATATCTTGCTAAAACATTAACTGAAAAAGTTATGTCATGCCTTGTAGTATTAGCAAGATATATTAGCGCACCAATTGCATTAAGATATGGTACTTTAGGACCAAGAAGCTCTTCATTATTTTCATGAGGTCGGAGTGGATCTTTATTTATATCGAGTAATCTCACAACCATTGGGGTACTTAATGGATGTAATTTATCCACATAGAAGCTCTTTAAAATCTTTTTAATGTATGCTGATTGAAGGACACAAATTCCATCTTTCATATATTCAATTTGTAGACCAAGACAAAATTTTGTCTTTCCAATATCTTTCATTTCAAATTCTTTCTTTAAATAATCTACTGCTTTAGGAAGCTCTCCGGGAGTTCTAATGATATTTGAATCATCAACATACATGACAATTATAACAAATTCAAATTCATATCATTTTATAAGGACATAAGGACAAATTGAATTATTCTTATACCCTTCTTTCAACAAGTACTCTCTTGGGCGATTATATCACATGCGCCCTAATTGTTTCAATCCGTATAAGGATTTTTGAAGCTTTATTTAATAAATTTCTTGGAAACCTTAATATACTCCAAGACAATTTAAATCTTTCAATGATATCCACTATACACATATCAAGTTTTTCATATATTGCCAGATTAAAACCTGAAGTGACTATATCCACTATAAGAGAACATGTCTCCATATAATCAATTTACTAATTTTCTTGTGCCACAAGTCGTCTTTATGTCTATCGACTTGAACCTTTCGCACAAGAATACATTTATACCTCAATTGACTTTATACTTTTAGGTGTTGGACTATCCGTCCAACTTCACATTTTTCAAGTGAAGTCAATTTCATTGCATATTTTTTATTTGGCCAATCTTTTATCCGTCCAAATTTTATGACAGATTTGATCTCAATATCCTCGTCAATATTAATAATATTGAGCGCTACATTATATTAACAATATCGTCGACAATCATTTTATGTCGGTTCCATTATTACCCAATAAAGACATAACTTATTGAGATTTTTTTATCTCATTATTTTCAGGTACCTGAGCCTCTCCCATGAGGTCTTGTGAAGTGTTATGTCGTGGTGCTCTTCTAGGGCACTTGCCTCCTTATTATGACCATTTTGAATATTTGTCCCTCTCCTTCTTCAAGGAGTTTTATCTTTGGAACCGATTAGTCTGTTACGCTTCATGCGTGCCATAGACTCTGTCCCTCATGGACTTTATTCTATTTGGAGCATTAGCAGCTGAAATATGACATTTAACTTTGGTCAGCAAATGCGTCTGGCAATAATTTGTAAATGAATTATCACTTGAACTTCAAGTTCATATTTTCTTGTACGAGGATCTATATGTATTCATAATAATTCATTTCACGTATCACTTTCTTAGCTGCCCATTTTCTCCCCCTAATGTTGGGATCACTAACACATTTTCCAACCTTCTTTGGGAACTCATCTTTGTGCATTTTGGTGGCATAATTAAATCATATAGCACATCCATATTTCTATATAGAAATTATTTGGTTCCNTATATTTCTATATAGAAATTATTTGTTTTCTGACCCTAAACCGATTGCGATAGGGAGAAATTTTTATAACTTGGCTAGATGCGTACAAGTGCTGATGTATAGTAAATAATACATCTCATACCAAATTTTGTTTTTGAGAGTTTTGTTCTCATAACCAATGATTTATGTATAATTGGAAGCATACAATTTCTACTAAACCAACTTGGATTTAAACCAGTATTATTAAGATAAATCATCATAATTTATATTCAGGAACTGTGCTCTAGTAACTTGAGCAAGCAATCTTGCAAAAGCCAAACTGCAAGTTGATAACAAATGCACATGTGACCATAGAATAGACACATCTATTAAAATTATATAATAGTAAACGGTCCACATGGCAGGTGACTGGGCCCATATATTTATCACCTTTTATTTGTTCCAGAAATCAAGGGATTCAATTCTTGAATAAGCAACACAAGATAATTCTTGAAGAATCTTCTATTCTTCAATATATGCCAATGTAATTCTCAATTAATTTTTCGGATCATAATTGAACCAGAATGGTCAACTGGTTATGCCAACTAATATTTGTTTTAGTAAACCTCTAGTTTACTTGTGGCATATGATTCCATCATCATGCTTATATTTGTATAGTACAAATAGAAAAGAAAATGGGTAACCTTTCATATTTACCCAGTATAATTGTAGAAATACGAAGATATTCAATCTTCCTTTCATTTATAGTCTCAATATGCCAACCACTTTGAGTTATACATTTGAAACTCAAAAAGTTTCTTTTGAGACTTTACAATATCAATGTCATGAATAATTTTATTCATCTAGATAGTAACAAATTAGTTTTTACGGAGCTCTTAATAACTTTTGTACTACAAGATCTTTTATCATATCATTCATATGGTAAATGTCTCATTTACGGAGAAACTTATATCATAATAAATTGTCATGGTTAGAATTATCATAAGCAAAATCATTTCTTGCTTTAATTTTGCCTTTAATAACTTTTATAAGGCATGACAAAATAATATTTGGCGTATCACATGTAAGCGACCAATGACATATTCATGTAACCACACAATATTTCACTCAAACCTCCCTTAGAGGTGAGTTGTGTGGTATTCATATAATTATGAATTGCATGTCTTTATTCATTGTTTTTATCACATATTGCCACATTCAACTTTAGGAATGAGTTTGCATTCTCAATGCTTATCACAAGTCACATTCTCTTCAAGGAATGGATCATTATCAGCGACGTGCTTTATTATTTTCATCCCAATTTGATGGTAAACATTGCCTTCACATTTTGAAGGACTATTTTGAGAACCCTTATTGTTCTCCTTTTATAATCATAGTGATGATTATTATTATTTTGTTCTTTGGAACGCCCACATTCGTTGTTCAACCACTTGTCTTCATTTAAACTTATTATGCACTGCTACCACATTCACTTCAAGAATAGAGCAAATCAAATGAGACAATCTTCATGCCTTTAATGAAAAATATATTATTTTTGTTTACTCATCATATATCATCAATATGATACATTGGAATTCAAACCCAATGTTGTACCCATATAAAGGCATATTAGGCTATAATGAATTGGGACTTAAACCCAATTCTTATCATCACGGAGCATCAGGATTTAAACCCGATGTCTTATCCGCATGGTGCATTGGGACTTGAACCCATCGTCTTACCCTCATATAATATTTATCACAAATTGTCTCATTCACTTTTAGGAATGAAACATAATTTTATGTAGCCAAAAATAAGTTAATAGAAATGATAAGAACTATTATCAACACAAATATGATGGAGTACAAACTCGTGTACTAGTATCTTACATATAAACATTTCAAAACAGAAAGTCACCATGTAGTGTTATTACTATATGATGTGTTACTGCAAACTAATACATGATGATTACATAAAATGTATACAAGAATTGAAACACATAACTAAATATACAATTTCAGAAAGCAAACAATCATGAGTAATAACTATTGCTAGCATATTTTGTTAACAGAAGATGTCAAATAGACTAGTAAAACATAATGATATCACTTTGCCAACTATCAACATAAAAAAAACATGTTGCACCTAATTAGATTAGTATGGATCATAATATAATTGACATTACTTTTCCTGAAGATTAACGAAAAATATTGCCTTTACCAAAATAGAAACCAAAGTATACAGTTTTTCACTCGCAAAATTTTTTCTTTCTCAAAGAAGCAATAGAATCACATCACGAAGCCAAACAAAATCGGAATAAAATCTCAACGTAGTATTACTAACATATATTAAAATCCTTGAAGTAATATGGCCATTCCTCCAACATGATCATGTGACATAACTATTATGAGTAAGAAAATTACCTTTTCAAGATTAACAGTATTTAGCTCTAACATGCTTGAAATTTAGTTTCATGGCACCTCTAGAATATAGTAGTAATTATTATCTACCTAATATACATGTCTAACTTTTGTAGTAATTATGTTATAATTTATAGAACCACTAAAAGGCTATTTAACGGACCAAATATTAGCATATGATGGTTCTACCTTGTTTCATTCGCTCCAAACTAACATATAACTCCTTTTCATTTTCACGGCGAGATATGGAAAGACCATACGAAATTTTGCGGCAACACTTCAACTTTTATGCCTAATTTTGTGGCTTACTTTGAAGTTGAAGAAGACCAAAACATTACTCAAAAACATAATATGATTAAAATAGACAATATAAGCAAACTATCAACATGGCATATGAAATGTCGTAGGTATGGTGATATAAATGAAATATTAGAGACTCATGTTGATAACGCGTTATAAAATAAAAGTAATTTAGTAAAACATGAACAAGAAATAAAGATAGAGAGAAAGAAAGAGATTTTCTTCTTCAATTATGTGTATTTTTCTATCTATTACAAGGCCTTTATACAGACATAAAAAGTGAAGAAAATATATCATGGAATATGTCATTCAACATAGAAAATATGTCATTGAATATATTATTAACCATTTGAGAGAAAGATCATGGAAGAAGATTAGACATCCACCATATTTGATTTTTATCATAACATATGTTCAATTATAAAATATAATATGGAACACTTCCGGAGGGCTAAGCTGCTTTAGTTTATGGAGTGTTTAAAATTGGTCCCTACTATGTCCAATTATAACTACTTATATAACTATAGTCTCTGCCTTCTCTGTAGAAAACTAGTGAGAGAAGGCCTATATTTCAATCAATCAATCAATAACTCCATCATGTCAGCCAAGGAAAATTTAACACTGATGAAGTAAAGAGTTAGATGAGAAGTCTGAGAAGATTTAGTTTGAAGAATAGGGCAACTTGTATCTAGCTTCTCATTATACATATTTATACAAATACCAAGTTCCTTATTCAGTACTAACTCTTGTACTTATCTCTATTTCCTACACAATGCAGACTCTTGAAACTTATCTCTATCAAACAAATGAAGAAAGGACCTCCTCACGCGCAGCGCACACAAACAGAAGGAAGAAGACAATTTTTTGGACCCACAAGTAAGTTATCGAGACACAATTACTCAAACTAATATTTTGTTTATCTGGATTGTGACGGTACATGTCCTTGAAAGAGGAACAAGTCAACATCAACAAGATAACCCCACAACTCATCTAAACTTTATCCCTATATCAGCTGCCGACAAAAATAGACTATATGCACCCCGGAAACAACTCCTTAGTCATCAAGCTATTAGGAAACGTATGGGCTATAACTTGTTACCCACAAAAATAAAAAAATAAAACTTGGAACTTTTTATTTTATTTTATTTTTTACGAATTTATTGCCACTTTTTGAAAGGAGTACATTTGAAGAAAGGGGTATTACGACACCTTCTTCACATGAAGTGAAAGAGGAAAGCTTAGTTGAAGAGTACATCTACTATCACTTCATCACCAAAAAAGTTGGCCATAAAGCTGTTACTTCAAGGAGGATCGTAGGTGAGCTTGCTTCGTTTTCTCTTCTTGACTCGAAAAGTTAGAAATTGCTATCTATCAACATTAAGAAGGCATCTAATTTGGCGAGGAAATGTAGTATAGTCGGCATTTATACACACTTCTTCGACCATGTGACTAAAAGAAGCCATTTTGACATCAACTCTATTTGCTTCTCTGAAGCAATGCTTTCTGATAACTCCATGTTGATCCTCACTTCATTGGGAATCCTCTAAGGAGTAGGACAATTGCCATAAATGCAGTTATGTAGTAACAGGGAATCTGTTTCACCAACAATAAGATTGAGCCCTTTTTGTATGCACCAGTTGATAGAAAATATTAGTGCACATGCTTCTGCCTATTTACTAGTTCCATGCCCAAGAGGTTTGGCGAAGGCCATTATAAATCTTCCCTTACAGTCTCTAATAACTCCTCCAGCGCCACATTTACCATTTATACAAGAGCCATCACTATTAACCTTAACAAAAAGGATGGGAGGTTTGATCCATCTAACACAGATGATTGATACTTCATTGAGATAGATGTTGCTGAGGATGCACATGTCATTTCAGTTTTCACCAAATCTATTCTCGCTCACCTTCATACAATCAACATAGTAGATCTGTCTCAAGGTCCAAATATCTTTCAAGGGGCCGGTCAAGGTACGTGTCTGCAGTTGACTTCTTCATTATATATGCTGATGATTAGAGTTTTATGTTATTTAACTGTATTATAATGCCATTTTTCTTGTATTTCCTATATTTCTTATATTGCTGTTGTTTTGTTATGTTAGGTTATTTTATGTTATGTTATGTATTTTATGTTATTTTATTATGAGTCTATTGATAGTACTAATATATCGTCACTTGGTGCTTTCATGAGCCGAGGGTCTCCTGGAAACAGTCTCTCTGCCCCTCGGGGTAGGGGTAAGGTCTGCGTACATATTACCCTCCCCAGACCCCACTTGTGGGATTATACTGGGTTGTTGTTGTTGTATTCTTCACCATGTTAATAATGTTGAAAGTAATAAAGAAAATGGACCTCGCGACTTAAGGTCTTTCCATTCCATATTTGGAGTTCCATCTTGATCTCCATAATTCCCACAAAACAAAGGGAGGGAGAATCTTAAAAACATAAGCAATAACATAGTTCCTAGTCCTCTGATTCCAGCAACTGGTAATAAGAGTTCTCATATTAATATTATAGGCAATCCCTAATGGACCAACAAAGTAGTTCCAGATAGTTTGAGCGTAATGGCCACTGTAGAGAAGATGTTCCACTGACTCAGACCCATTGGTCATTCCAGGACTCATGCAGCAAGAGCATGCCGATGGTAAATTAATACCAAACTTTATGATCTTGTCATTAGTGGAGAGTCTGTCATGAATTGCTCTTCAGGATAAGAATGACATTTTGAAGGGAATGTCATTGTTCTAGATTTTGACATTATACTGATTATCACAACCTTTTTTTTTTACCCCTCCAAAAGATAATGTGTGTTATGGATGGTGGGTTAAAGAGCTTTTCCAATTAAAGTGACAAATTTGAAATAGAGATTATTTTATTTACAGAGTCGCCACTTGGAATTGATTTTTGCCTGTGTTCCAAGTCACCTTTTATTTGAATCTCTATTCAAAGGAAGGTTAGACTCTATTATTATTGGTCTACGAAAACAAAGTTCAGGTAAAGAATTATGTTGACCAGGGAGAAGGTGTAAGACATTCCCCGAGTCCCGTAGTTCTAGCACGATCGCTTTATTGACTAATGTAAGGCTTAAATCAACTTTTAGTTATTCTTGTATTTTATTGATTGGCTTATTTATTACCGCTTAATTAATTATTATATTTTATTAATTATGTTTACCAAGATGCGGAATGCACACAAGGATGCTTCTTTGGAATTAAATGTTAAACCAAGATATGGAATGCACACATGGTTAAAATATAATTATTTTAAATTTAAAGGCATCGAGACGCGGGAATGCGTACATGACCCCTCTATTACTTAAGCATATCAATCCAAGGTTCGGGTAGGAACACATGGGCTAATATTTAAAGTTTTTTCTAGCATTGTAATTTATTCGTCTCTTTCGTATCCGTGATATTCATTTGCATATTTTTTAAATATGTTTTATTTATTTATTTATTGCAACGAAGTTTATAACATATCTCAATCACTCACAATCATTTTCTTATCAATCGGCCTTGACTTTCACCTAGGTTCAGTTTATTAATAACTTTCGCATAATATAATTTCAACAATAATGCAAGAATAATACTTAAACAAATCAAAATAATATAAAAAAGTAACAACAATAATTATGTAATGCAGATTATGAACTAAACCTTTAACATAAGCTATAAAAAATTCCATTGAATTAGTTTCAAAAATAAAATCCAAATATGAGGGCATGAACTATATGATACCATATCAAGTAACACCATATCTTAATGGGTTCGAAAGTGTCCTAGAATGGAAAACTTGATGTGTACTTTTCATAGATTAGTTAAATAATTTATTATATCATAACTATAGATTAATACTAATTCTTGAGTTAGTACACTCTAAAGTTGACTATTCAGACACTTGTTTAAACCATAGCTACTGAATACTTGGAATAAATATTGAAAATGCTCTCGGTAATCACATAAGTTATATAGTGTCACCAAGAAATGTTTAATTTTTTTTATAATTAATTTGAATTAAAGATATGCATCCCAATGAACAAATTCACAATACAACTAAACTTCTCCACAAAATATTAAACACATATTGTAACTATGAAGAGAAGAATAAGAACCTTTACGGTGACGATTTTTACTGTATCAAGAAAACTCTAACAAATAGATATTCAATGTCGAACTTTTGAAATAGCAACGAACAACAGTGAACCATAAGCTGAAAACTCAACGAGAACTTTTTGAGACCTGGATCTTGAACGGAAAATCCTAACTTTGCGTGCTTTGTGAGAATGGAATTTTTCGTTCTTGTTAACCACCTAAAACTGATACTTCCTTTTTCGTTCTTCTCTTTTTCCAAATATTCTCTTGTCCATTCTTTTTTTTTTCCAGATTCCACCCCATCTTATATATAGATGTGTATGTGCTTTATAACTTATGTGAAAAAAGTGGGGAAATGGGGATTGGAATGTGAGTGTGTGCAGATGATCGTGTATCTGTGCAATGTGAGTGAGTCTTGCAAAAAGTGGGGGTGAGACATGAGTGAAATGGGGAAATGGGGAAGTGTGTGGGGAACATATGGGGGACAAGGAGTGGGAATAACTTTATTAATGGGATAGGGAATAACTTTATTAGTGGGATAATGAATAACTTTATTAGTGGGATAAGGGGACCAACGTGGGAAAAAATGGGAGCGGGAAAGATGGAGCGAGAAGTGAGGTACTGGTGAAATGAGTGGGGAAAAGAGTTCAAACATGGTAAAAAATTAGGTGCTCACAGCATGACCCTCTTTGCTTGGAAGCATGAAGAGTTTTTAGGCAAAGAAAAGATGAGAAATATGACTAATTTTTGGTCGTACCATTATTCAAAAGGGAGAAATAAAAGATATGGTGCAACTGAGCTTGGTTTGGGCGGCCTATATATCAGGTCGCGTGTAGTTCAAAGAAAAGGTTGGAATGATGAGATGAGAAATCGAGTGAGTTCCCGCCGAGGCTCTGGTCCGTAAGTCTATTATTACATCAAAATAATAAAAAAAGAAACTGAACAAACCTATCAGTTATGAGTTACAAGATTCCTATCTATGAGTCTTCTAAAGTTTGATCTTGAGTCTTGGATGGTTCTTCCTGCAAACTCTGATCTGAATCTTGATGCTCGTTAGCTGCAGCCGCTGGTTCATTCTTCTTCAGCTTTTCAGATCAAAACGGGACATACAGAGCTTGTGACTCCAACTATGTCTTGAGCAATCTACATCTTTCCTTCGCTTCTGCACTTTGGATTCACTTCTTTTCCTTTTTCTTTATTCTGGATTGAGACTCATTCTTTGGGCATCTCGAACCCTGTGCCTCGAGGTAAAACCTGCTTAGACACCAAAGCAAATCAACGAACGAAATTTTTATGCCCCAGTTTTCACTAGGAAAATTTCGTGAGTTATTGTAACAAAATTCTAAACTACTTTTTTATTGAAAGCAATAAAATCATGATTGTGTATCCTTGAGAAAAATGATTGGGGAGTGGGGCCCTATATCTATACTAAAAGTCTACTAGGGAGTGGAGACCCTATGTTGGAAAGCTCAGTTAGGGATTAGCGTACCCTATACTGGTAAAGGAAATGTAACCCGGGGTTGGTGCCATGTATTACTGAAAAGGAAATGTAACCAGGGGTTGACACCCTGTATTACTAACAACAACAAAAGAATGTTGAATCCCCCTGGGTGATAAAGTTCTACCTAGGTTAAACTAACAAAAGCAAATCTGGGCGAAGAGTACTTCTACCTGGAAACTATGAGCCGGATCCCCCTAGGCAAAAGGGTTCTACCTGGGTTAAACTAACAAAAGCAAACCTGGGCGAATAGTACTTCCACTCGGAAACTATGAGCCGGATCCCCCTAGGCAAAAATATTCTACCTGGGTTAAGCTAATGTAAAACAACCTGAGCGGGGGGTACTTCTACCCGAAACTATGAGCTGGATCCCCCTAGGCGAAAAGGTTCTACCTGGGTTAAGCTACGTAAAACAACCTGAGCGAAGAATACTTCTACCCGGAAATATGAGCTGGATACCCTTGGGCGAAAAGGTTCTACCAAGGTTAAGCTACGTAAAAATAACCTGAGCGAAGAGTACTTCTACCCGGAACTATGAGCTGGATCCTGCTAGGCGAAAAGGTTCTACCTGGGTTAAGCTACGTAAAAATAACTTGAGCGAAAATTACTTCTACCCGGAACTATGAGCTGGATCCCCCTAGGCGAAAAGGTTCTACCTGGGTTAAGCTAATGTAAAACAACCTGAGCGAAGAGTACTTCTACCCGGAACTATGAGCTGGATCCCCCTAGGCGAAAAGGTTCTACCTGGGTTAAGCTAATGTAAAACAACCTGAGCGAAGAGTACTTCTACCCGGAACTATGAGCTGGATCCCCCTAGGCGAAAAGGTTCTACCTGGGTTAAGCTAATGTAAAACAACCTGAGCGAAGAGTACTTCTACCCGGAACTATGAGCTGGATCCCCCTAGGTGAAAAAGTTCTACCTGGGTTAAGCTAAAAAAAAAATAGGAGGTGAGAACAATAGTGACGTATGCCAAAAGTAAAAGAAAAATGGAGATTTAAGGAACTTACGTTTGTTGACATTCGTTCTTTTAGAATCACCATTCTGCATGCTTTGTTCTTGCTTCAAACAAATAAAAATTTGTGAGTTTTCAACGTGGTGGTTGATTTGTGGCCTTGATGCCCTGAGTAGCTTGGTTCACGGCCACTGCTGTCGAAGAACCAATTCTGTTAGTGTGGTACCGAGTTGTCCATGGTACCTCTACCCTTGTGTCTAAGGCAAGGCTATTTTTTTCTTTAAAATCTAGCTCTGTTGTCTTGCACCCAGTATCAGTTTGTGTCCGTAGTGCTTATCAACTTTTCTTATGAAGCAGGTTTTACTTAGGCGACCTTTTCAGTTTATTTGAGACACTTTATTAGATGGATTCGTGCCTTCATCAATGCCATATATTCCCCAAATTGTGCTTGACATTACAGAGAAACTGTATCCAGTTTTGCAGCCCTTTCTTTGCTTCGATTTTGATGCAGGATTAGACTGAAAGGGACTCAAAGAAAAATTATGGGTAAAAATAG